CAGGGATTGAATCCACAAAACCGACTGAGCCACCCAGGTGCCCCATTTTAGAACCATTTTAAAATTTGCAACAGTTGGAATCATATTTCAGACTCTAGCAGCTCTTGTGGGTCTGGGTGGCTCAGTCAGTTAAGTGTGCAACTTCGGCTCAGGTCATGATCTTGCAGTTCATGAGTTCCGGTCCCACATTGGGCTCCACGTTGTGGAGCCTGCTTGGGATTCTCTTCCTCTCTCTCTCTGCCCCTCTCCCATTAGTGCACACACTCTCTCTCTAAAATATATAAATAAACTTAAAAGAAAAAAAGACTAGCAGCTCTTCCTCTGCTTTAAATACAGATATAACATTTAAATTTCAAATCTCATGTGATAATATGAATGGATTTTTAAAAAGTATTATTTTTGAGAAACAGAGCATGAGCAGGGGAGGGGCAAAGAGAGAGAGGCACAGAATTTGAAGCAGGCTCCAGGCTCTGAGCTGTCAACACAGAGCCCAACTTGGGGCTCGAACCCACAAACTGTGAGATCATGACCTGAGCCAACATCAGGCTGGCTTAACTGACAGCCACCCAGGCACCCCAATAGGAATGGACTTTTAAAATCATATCACATATTTCAAAAACAATGGAGACTTTTTCTGAAGGACACAGAGGCGCCATCAAAGCAGTTGCCTCGCAGCTAGCTTAGCTGCAGGAGGGAAAAATAAAACATGAGTTAGCGGCAGACAAAAATGTCAGTTACATGTAACGTCAGAGAATGCTTCAGAGCTGCACCTGCCTGTGCTCCCCAAAGACCACCTTTACCATCCACATTGTGGGCCCCTGGAACACACACTCTTCAAGCAGGTCCACAGGCTGCAAAAGACCTAGGATGAAGACGTGGGGAGCAAAAAATACAGAATAAACTCAAATATTTGAGAAACACATGAATTTGGGGAGATATTCTCCAACAGTATCACTGAGTTGCTAAGGAGCTGATTATCCTCTGTGTGCTGCAGTTTTGAATGTAGTACAATAGAAAACAATTTCTGAACTTCCTGGAAGGAATAATATTCGATCAGGTTGGGTTCTTTTGATTCTAGGGCGAGCAGTAAAGATAGCATTGCTAGGTATAGAGCTCAACCTGAATAGACATATGAATAATGAACAATTTGCTGATTTGCTGAGACGAAACCCTTAAAAAAGTAACTATTTATTTATTAGGGGAGGGGAAGAAGAGCACAGAGAAAGGGAGACACAGGATCTGAAGCAGGCTCCAAGCTGTCAGCACAGAGTCCGATGTGGGGCTCAAACTCACAAACTGCGAGATCATGACCTGAGCCAAAGACAGACACTTAACCAACTGAGCCACCCAGACACCCAAGAGGAAACCCTTTTGAATCTCCAGCTGACATCTTCAGTTGACTGTGTGTTCTTTTTTATAATTAAAAATTTTTTTACTTAAGTTTATTTATTTAAAAAAATTTTAATGTATTTTTTTCCCTGAGAGAGAGATAGAGCCTGACGTGGGGCTCGAACCCACGAACTGTGAGATCATGACCTGAGCTGAAGGTGGATGCCCAACTGAATGAGCCACCCAGGCGCCCCAGCTTTATTTATTTTTGAGAGAGCAAATGAGCAGAAGCTGGGGAAGGGCAGAGAGAAGGGGAGACACAGAATCTGAAACAGGCTCCAGGCTCCAAGCTGTCAGCACAGAGCCCAACACAGGGCTTGAACTCACAAACCATGAGATCATGACCTGAGCCAAAGTCTGACACTTAAGTGACTGAGCCACCCAGGCACCCCCTAACTGTGCGTTCTTTATGAATGGACATAAACTACTCACATCTGAGTAAAGATCTTTAGTACCTTCATCTGGATTCCTTATGTGCACATGATGGTCTAATGGTAAGACCCTTGGTTATGACCCTTGGCTCAGAGCATGACAGTGGAAGATACGAAGTTAAAACCTGGCTTCCCATAGCTCTTTGACCCTAGCTATTTTGCCTTTCCAACAGCGTTTATCCTGAGATATTTCTCCTATTATCTCCCTTGCTGCAGACTAATACCAGGAGAGATATACTGAAAAACAATAGCCTAAAATTAGGGAAGTTCTTTTTTATTTATTTATTTTTTTTAAATTTCTGAGAGAGAGACAGCATGAACAGGGGAGGTCAGAGAGAGAGGGGGACACAGAATCTGAAACAGGCTCCAGGCTCTGAGCTAGCTGTCAGCACAGAGCCCGATACGGGGCTCGAACCCACAAACCGTGAGATCATGACCTGAGCCGAAGTCGGACGCTTAACCGACTGAGCCACCCAGGCGCCCCTAAAATTAGGGAAGTTCTTGAAAGCTTTTGGTAACATAAAGGTTTGGTTAGAACTGTACTTTGTAGAGTACTGTAGGTCGGATTTGATAAAGGGATTGCATGTGGGTTGAAGTGGTAGAACAGAGGAGGGAATGACTGAGGGAGGCAGTAGAAATTAAGCCATGGTTTAATCTAGAAGGATGGGAAGTAATGTCACCCCATCAATAGAACTCTTGGCAGCTGGCTAGCTAGGAGGGCAGCCAAAGGTAGGCAGGAAGGAAGCTGGATTCCTGGAAGAAGGAAGTGGCTGTTAACATAAACAGGGGAGCCTTGGTGAGGACTGACTTTGTGGATAATAGCAGATGCGTCTTTTAAGTGTGGTGTGGCACTTGTAGGGGTGACCAGCAGGCAAGTGGAGGGAGGCTGAGGCTGGAGACATTCAGGCTGGAGTCATCCAGATGGAGGCAAAAACTGAATCTCAAAAGTACTATAAATACAGAGAAAAGATCATAGGAAAAACCTGTGTCTAGGGGACAAGAAGTAAAAGCTGAGAAAGCACAGGTATTGACAGAGAAGAGAATCAACAAAATGGTGGGTGGGAAAGAATTAGTACTAAGAAAAGCTGTCTAGGACTGGTAACGCCAAAGTTGACGGGCACCGTGATTTATCCAGGAAATGGACTGCGTCACATATGCTGGAATTTATTGTTTATAAAATTTATCTATTTATTTTGAGAGAGCGAGCGAGCGAGTGCAAGCATGAGTTGGGGAGGGGCACAGAGAGAGAATTCCAAGCAGGCTCTGAGTTGCCTGCACAGGGCCCCATGCAAAGCTTGATCCCACGACCCTGGGAACAAGACCTGAGCAGAGATCAAGAGTCGGACACTCAACTGGCTGAGCCACCCAGGTGCCCTGTGGAATTCATTCTTTTTTTTAATGTTTATTTTTTTTGAGAGAGACAGGCAGAGCACGAGCAGGTGAAGGGCAGAGAGAGAGGGAGACACAGAATCCGAAGCAGGGTCCAGGCTCTAGGCTGTCAGCACAGAGCCCTATGTAGGGCTCAAACCCATGAAGCATGAGATCATGACCTGGGTCAAATTCTGATGCTTATCTGACTCAGCCACCCAGGCGCCCTTGGAATTCATTCTTTAAACCATAGCTCAAAGGCACCTGAGTGGCTCACTCAGTTAAGCACAGGACTCTTGATTTTGGCTTAGGTCATGATCTCATGGTTCATGGGTTCAAGCTCCACGTCAGGCTCTCGGCTCACAGAGCAGAGCCTGCTTGGGATTCTCTCTGTCTTCCTCTGTTCCTCCCCTTCTCACACTTACATGCATTTGTGCTCTCTCTCAAAATAAATAAATTTAAAACTAAAAAAAAAAAAAAAAAAGGTAGACCAATACACTCATGTTAAAAAATGAGGAAGGGGCACCTGGGTGGCTCAGTTGGTTAAATGCCTGGCTTTGGCTCAGGTCATGATCTCGCAGTTCGTGGGTTCAAGCCCCGTGTCGGGCTCTGTGCTGACAGCTAGCTCAGAGCCTGGAGCCTGTTTCAGATTTTGTGTCTCCCTCTGTCTCTGATGCTCCCCTGCTCACGCTGTCTCTCTCTCTCAGAAATAAATAAAACATTGGAAAAAAAATTAAGGAAACAGAAACTTGGCTGTTCCCATGTCACTGAAGAAGTTATGGAAATATTCCACACCTCATGGAGTCGTTGAGTGCCAGAACATTTGGCTACCACTTGAATTCCAATAGTCCTGCCCACTTACATGACTTTGGACATTTCTATGTGTTGTTTCCTCTTCTTCTGTGTGAAGGACAATAATCTACTGTGCAGAGTTCTTTCGGAATTATACTTAGCACAGAGCCTGACACAAGTTTTATAATCAAAACTTATAAAGCACTATAGGCCTGACACTTTACCAGTGCTGTTATTATAGGTAGGTATTAACTCATTTAATCCACCCAAAAGCCCTAAGGTAGTATTAGATATATCCCTATTTTACAGATGGAGAAACTAAGACCCCATCCAAGACTTAATACCTAACTTAGTGCAGTTCCCTGATGTAAACTTCAACCAAATAATTGGACTTTCTTGGTCAGCCCCTTACCCTTCGGCAGGGAGACATTGCCTAAAACAACACAATCCTTGCTAACCAATTCCTTTTATTTAATGCCCTTTCTCTGTCTTAAAACAAACGAACAAAAAACACCAAAAACCAAAAAAACCCTTTCTTCTCCGCAACTCCTTTTGATTCGCTAGATGGGTGCTGCCCCATTCGGGAATCCTTCAGTAAAGTCAATTTGACCAATTCCTCACTTGGATTTTTGTTATTGAATACTGACTAGTGTAGGCTTACGTCACAAATCAGTGGCACAGGCAGGGCTTAAACCCAAGTCGTCTGTTCCTCAGCCTCTGCTCTTGAGTGCTGTGCTGTATGGTTCATACATCTTCGCGAATGAAGAGGAAGAGCGTCCATTCATTCAGGCTCGCGGTTACTGGAGGCGGAAAGCACCATCTGTTCCAACACTTTCCTTTCAAGCCCGGGGAAGTGCCACACACGGGAGGAGGGGGGTGTCTTCCCTGCGAGACCTGGACCCGTCCCTGTGGCCAGAGCCCAGCAAGCCTCTCCGAGTCTCCCAGCCCGCAGGTGCCTCCGGCGGGCGGGAGTGAGGGGGGAGGAGCGCTCGCCCAGGCCCCGCCTCCCCTCCGCGCGCGCCGCGGAGCGCGCACCTCGCAGTCTGGCGGCCGTGCTGCAGCTATGGGGACAGCGGCCGGCGGTAAGGCGCACTTCCAGAGGGGCAGTCTGTTCTGGTTCGCCGTCATCATCCTTTCATTTGGGTATTACACGGTAAGGGGAGCGGCCGCTCGGAGCGCGGGTCCCTCGCCAGCCCCGGGGGAGGTCGCGCAGGCGCAATGCGGCTCGGAGCCCAGGGACAGGGGACCAGGCCCGGGGAAGAAGGCGCAGGCGCGCTCCTGTGCCCGCGCCTTTCCCGGGTTCTCTCGGTCCTGAGAAACCGGCTCCGCGGGCTTTGTCGGGATGGGGGCGGGGGCGGGGATGGTTCCCCACCCCGTGATTCAGCGTATAGCTCTTTCAAGATGGTGGTGATGAGGTCCGAGGCCCGCAGGGCTGCTTCTGCCTACTTCCGTCGAGCCAGACGTCTGCCCTCGCTGGTCACCGTCCTGGGACTGGGCTATTTCGCGGTGAGGCGTTGGGAGGGGCCCTCCAGGCCCCCGTAGGGCGAGGGGCGCTCGGGCCGCGAGGTACGCGCTTGCGCGCTCCGCGGTTGCCTGGGTTAGCGGAAGGTCGGTGGGCCCGCCTTTGCGTGCTCGCCCCTCTACACTTCTTACGGTGTAACCCAGCGTGAGTAGAGTTCACCGAGGAGAATTCACGTAGACAGGCTGCCGTAGGCCTGCCGGCTCTGGACAGGGCTTCCGAAACCATGTTTGAGACAGTTGGAATGGTTTGGGAAACGGGGATGCACCTGAAGAAGGGATAGAGAGGATATAAATGTTATGGCATAGATATGGGATCAGGGAGACGAGATCTCTGCCGAGAGGAGGAGCGACTTTTGTCTCGCCGACAGTTCTTTTAGAAAGATAATAGGGACGCCTGGAAAAGCAGGTTGGGGACTAGGTTGGTGTAATTTTGAAAAGAGGCAAATGTATTTGAATCTTGATCGGGAGATCCTTGGACACTGGGGCTTAGAAGTGTCATGTCGTGTCCACAGTGGGGTTTGTCGTCAAATCTGATCTCCTTGGCTCCAATTTCCTCATATGTACAATGGAGGGATTGAACTGGAATTTTTCAAAGGTGCAATTCTATTCTGTGGTTCTGGGTTCCTGACTAGTTAGAAAACAGATGGAGGAAAGCTTTGGGGACTTCAAACTGGGATATTATAGGGCTGCCAGGTGCTGCCTTTTCTATTCCTTTTGGTTTTGGAGGGTGCAGTGATATTTTAAGCTTTATTTAAATTTTAGATGGGTAACAACATAATGAGAGACGTAGGACTGCTCTTCTTGCCTGAGCTCTGAATGAGACAATACATTTTGGACCTGTTGGCACTTATTATTCTCAGAAAAATCCGGCAGAGGTTACAACATAGAGACAAGTTGATCCAATTACACAAACCTAATGTGATTAGATAGTTGCTGTTAGCACTTCACAGACTTGACTCACATATTTTTCAGCTCCAGAGAGGTGGATTTAGAGGTTTTAGAGGTAGGAAAAGTGAAAGAAGAGGAATTCTTCTTTCTAAGGAATTCTAAGTTAAATGGGGGTTTGGTTCAAGCCATAGCTTCTGCAGTAAAGAAGCTAGCCAGGGCGTGGAAACTTAAACTTATTAATAACCTGCATAAAATAATGTTTTGGGTGGAATTAATTAAGAATAGAAGTCATTCAGCCCGGACACAGAGTCTGATAACCACATAGCTTCCTTGGTGTAAATCTCCCACCAGAATAGCTTTTAGGAAATGTTAGGTGGAGGGGCGCCTGGGTGGCTCAGTCGGTTAAGCGCCTCACTGTTGATTTAGGCTCAGGTCATGCATGATCTCACAGTTTTGCGAGCTTGATCCCCACATCGGGCTCTGTGCTGACAGTGTGGAGCCTGCTTGGGATTCTCCTTCACTCTCTGTCCCTGCCCTGCTCTCACTGCCTTCTATCTCTCCTAAAATAAATAAATAAAACTTAAAAGAAAGAAAGAAAAGAAGGAAAGGAAAGGAAGGAAGAGAGGAAGAAGGAAAATAGAAATGGAGAATGGAAGCCCAGATGACTTAATTCAGTTTCCTTGGTCTTTAGTTGTTTTTGTAGAATCAGGATTATTTCATGGTTTCTCTCAAAGATAAACATGACCTGATTTCAGTGACCTAATAGGTATTCTGTGCCTCTGATTCTTTTTCAGTGGATTGTCTTCTGGCCTCAGAGTATTCCTTACCAGAGCCTAGGGCCCCTGGGCCTCTTCACTCAGTACTTGGTGGACCACCATCACACCCTCCTGCACAATGGGTAAGGAGAGCTCCGGAAGTGGGATGTGGCCCCTGCAGCTCCAGCCCTACCATAGACCTGGAAGGCTTGCCCTTGGCTTTGGACGTCTAAGAGTGTTGCTAGTTCACATTAAGGCACCTTTCTTTTTGAGGTTTCTGTGTTTGATTTCATCAGCAGATAACCGTCACCTTAAGCTAGGATGACTTTTGTTTCAGGTATTGGCTTGCCTGGCTGATTCACGTGGGAGAGGCCTTGTATGCCATGGTTTTGTGCAAGTAAGTGTTGGGGGTTTTTTGGGTTTTTTGTTGTTGTTGTTTGTCTTTTTTTTTTTGCAAGTAACTGTTTTTAATAGGTCTTTGTCATTTTTCTCTTGGTATCTGATATAAGTTGAGAGTACCCACATTTAAATAATTCATGCACTTGTAGGCCAAGAGCATTCTCAGGGTAGGGTTGAATCTCCATGCCAATACTGAGCCTAGCCCAGAGGCAGTACTCGGTAAATATTTAACAAATGGATTCATTTCATTTGTGTTGGCTAGTCAGTTATAGTCAGTTAATGAGCAACTTAATTTAGATGGTTTTTCTCATTTTTAAAATATTCTCTGAACAGTTCCAACTAGAACAAAATATCTGGAGTTTGCTTTCTAGTTTGAAAAAGAGCCAAGTTAGGGGCACCTGGGTGGCTCTACCCGTTGAGCGTCTGACTTTGGCTCAGGGCATGATCTCACAGTTCGTAGGTTTGAGCCCCATGTCAGGCTCTAGACTGACAGCTCAGAGCCTGGAGCCTGCTTGAAGTTCTGTGTCTCCCTCTCTCTCTACCCCTTTTCCCACTCATACTCTGTCTCTCTCTCTCAAAAATAAATAAACATTAAAAAGTTTTTTGTTTTTTTTTTTAATAAAAAGAAAAAAGCCCAGATACGGACGTAGGCCAATGACTCTCAGTCCTAGTTTCATGACTGAGTCGCCTGAGGAACTTTCTCGAGAGATCCTGATTTGGTCTTGCTTCAGAAATGGGACTATGTTATTTGTTTTCAAGCTCCACAAATAATTCTGGGTTAATTCTGCAAGTTAAAAATGAAAAAGCCTCTGGGCTAGACTCCGCTCAGCAGATGCCAATGTAAGTTAATACTGTGTGAGCATACTTGGAAGGATTCTCTTTACATTAGTACTTCCGTAAGCACATCGTACAGACAGCGTGCTGGCATGAAGCAGTAGTTACTGTCCCGCCAGATTTACTTTGCAACTAATTTTTTTCTGGTCGAGATGAACTGTCACCTCCGTTATTGTTGTATTCTAAAGGTGAGAACTAACATACTTTAGAACAACTGTTTTAATAGCAGTTAATATCTATTGGGTGCATACCTCTCCAGTTACACTCCCCCTGTAGATTGTTGTCCACCTCTCCCCTCCCCACCCCCCCCAGCCGCGGATGAAATCCGAAGCAGTTCCGTAGGTTTTCCAGTCCACTCCAGGCTGTTGATTAAATCCATTAAGTTAACCAAAGTCAAAAGTGTCTGCTCTCATCCAGCTGGGGCTCAGGAGCCTGCTGCAGGGAAGAGAGTGTGGTTGGTGTCTTCTCTCTCAGGCCATCCCTTTTTCCTATTTGATAGCGACAGCTGCTTGTGGCCCGCCATGGTGGGAGTCGTTGGGGGGAACTGGGCACTGTCCTCCTTGTGGTCAGGCAGCTGCGGGCTGTGGCTGTTGCATGCCCGGTTTTGGCTCGTTTTCCCTGGCAGAGCCCCAGTGGATTTTTGAGAAACCAGGCCATCGCTGCGGACCTCCCTTCTGCATTTCCCCTGATGGGTCCTTCAGATGCCGCCGCCAGCCTGCCTCTTGCAGTTGCCCTTCAGGATCTGTGAATGAGGGGAGTTTTACTGAGATCTCTTCTACCCTTCAATTAGGGCCTCTGGGGCAGGGCTCCTTTAAAGCCCGCCCATGCCCATGGCCTTCTGCCAGATCTGGAGGGCTCACAGTAACAGCTTCCTTACCCTTCCAGTGCAAGAAATCTGCAGGTACATGCACTTCCAGTTGCGGCCTTGTATCTTTGGTCTCCCATTAGGCAAGCTATACCTGAGTCTTTAAGAATAGCTTTTTTAATATTTATTTATTTCTGAGAGTCAGAGTGAGACAGTGCAAGCGGACGAGGGGCAGAGAGAGAAGACACAATGTGAAGCAGGCTCCGGGCTCTGAGTAAATGTTCAGCACAGAGCCCCATGCGGGGCTCGAACCCACAAACCATGAGATCATGACCTGAGCCAAAGTCAGACATTTAACCGACTGAGCCATCCAGGCGTCCCAAACTAAACCTGTGTCTTTAAGCTTTAGAATCAGATAGTAATCTCTTCCCCTAAATTCCAGGGGACTCAGATCAAGCTCTTTGGATGGTTCTGTTGAAGCGATTCTTTGAGTCTGACTTGTGACGGGAAATGCCGTAGCACTAGTAGCCCTGTGCACTGGCCCCTTCCGCCTTGTGTTGGAACCTTAGCTTGGAGGTGTGGTCTCACTCCTCGAATTCACAGTGTTGGAGTATCTGACACCTGTACTGTTACTGGCATTTGGAGTCTCTTGTGAAAACCAAAAGACGCAAATTTAACATCGTGCTGTCCGAGTCTCTGAAGGGTAGCCGGGGAGCAGGCATGGAGAGCTTAGGTCACTCTTCCTATGCTCTTGAAATTCTTTTTTCATGGTCCCACATGTTGCAGTATGTCAGTTGTCACTGTACCTCAGAATAAATACTCCATTTGCATTATGAATGAATGAATGAATGAATGAATTTAAGTGAATGTATATATGTAACCCCCAAATCATACTACCCAGCAATAACAAGGAATTGGTGAATCCCTTTTAACCAGAGATAAGATGGGACTCTATGTTTGACTTCATAGCTACCATAATATATATAAATATAGACATAAACTCTTCTATCACTTTTTCCATTGTCACATATGCCTATTTTTCCATGTCTACATCTATAAATTTGCCTCTGTTAGTGCATAGTATTCTATTCTATGGCTGTGCCTCACTGTATTCACAAATCCCCCCCGATGGACTTTTAAGTCTCTAGTTTTTTATTATTGTAAATAGCACTGAATGAACATGAATTCCTCATATCTACTGGCCCTTGCGTTGTTGCTGATTAAAGGGAGATCTTTCAAATTTTGCACCCTGTTTTTTCTAGCATCACGTAGACCTCCTCTGTCAGAGTAAGGAAGTTCCATCCTGTTTCTAAGTTAGCTGAGAACTTGTGTTCAGAATCAGTGTTGTAATTTCTCAGATGCTTCTGCATGTATCCAGATGATCATATGATTTTTCTCCTTTAATCTGTTAGTGTGGAAAACAATGTCATTTCTACAAATAGTCTTCTAAATTAGAAGTCACCCACATGAGACTTCTTTATTTACAGATGAGACCAGCAAGCCATTCATTTCTGTTAGGCCCTTTTGTTTTGAGCTGTTTTAAGCAGTTTGAATGGCCATAGCCAGGCGTTTATTATTTTTGTGAGCCAGGCTCTTGACTAAACACTTTGTGTATGTCATCTCCTAAATCATCCCCAAATTTGCTGGGATAAACACTGATACTTTGGTTTTTCAGAGGAGGAAACAGAGTCGAGAGAGGAGTGGCTTGCCCAGGCGTCACAGCTTGTAGCTGGCCAAGCTAGGATTTAAATTGGGTCTACCTTCAAAACTCTTCCTCTAAAGGCATCCCAGTGCTTTTTAACTCTTTACGTTCATCAGAGTCACAGGGGAAACAGTTTTATAATTCCATGCCATAGGCAGTAGCCAGCTGTGACTGAGGTAAGAGTGTACCATCCTAAATGTACAAGAAAAATGAAAATAAATGAACTAACCACGTGAGTTAAGAAACTGGAGGAAAATGGCAAAAATAAGCCTAATAAAAGTAGACAGAAGGAATCCTTTTTTTTTTTTTTTAATAGAAGACCAGGGGCACCTGGGTGGCTCAGTCGGTTAAGCGTCTGACTTCGGCTCAGGTCATGATCTCACAGTTCGTGGGTTGGGCCCCGCTTCGGTCTCTGTGCTGACAGCTCAGAGCCTGGAGCCTGTTTCAGATTCTGTGTCTCCCTCTCTCTCTGCCCCTCCTCCGCTTGTGCTCTGTATTTCTTTCTCTCAAAAACAAATAAACATTAAAAGAAATGTAAAGAAATAAATAATAAAAAAAATTAAAAATGCAAGACTAACTCTTAGGAAACCATAACATTAAAATTCTGGTGGTTAAGTTTCTCTCTTTCTTATTTTTAGGTCTAAAGGCATCACGGACGGTCGGGCTCAAGTGCTCTGGTTCCTACAGACTTTCCTCTTTGGGGTGGCGTCTCTCTCCATCTTAATTGCTTACAGACCGAAACGCCAAAAACAAACTTAAGGAAGATATTCAAATGCTTTCCCTACACTTTTGACCTTCAACTTCACAAGGCAAGGAAGCTGCTGACTTTACTTGATCTTTCTACTTCCCAGAAGTTTAAGACCCTCTAGTTAGTCATTACTTCATATGCTCTCGTTGAGCCCGACTCATGACAAGGAAGGATTTAAGCTTCCCAGTTCTGCAGACAGGGTTTCCAGCTGTCTTCTTGAGGTCCTCGGCAGTGCCGGGGCTCATTCTATCTGGTGTAAGCTGTGCACTAAAATTCCTTATTGGTATAATTTTGTTCCCGCCTTCTGACTAAAATACTACACTCTTTTCACCCCATCTTAGCTTGTCTTTCCCCCAGTTTACTGCACCTTTCTGAACCAAGACAGAGTGACATTTCCATAACATATCAGTTCCAAGCACAGTAGGCATCTGTGAGGCAGGATCGTATCCTCTCGAACTTCCTTTTCTCTCAGCACCAAGAAAGATCAGAAAGATGAGCAGATGCATGGAATGGGCCAGGCTGAGCAGCGACATAGAGGCACAGAGGACACGCCGGGTGCCGAGAGGAGAGGACTGGGGGACGCCTTCTCTGGTCTTGCCAGCCGGAAGCCAGCCTTCCCTCCATGCACCCCTAGGGCACAGCACTCTGGTGTGCAGGGGTCTGAAGGCCGCTGCTGGGTTGCTGCTTCTGGTCAGGCTCACATCTTAGACAGATTTTTGTTTCGGCAGCTGGCCCATTGCCTTGCCCACAGGTGTCCTAGCAGTGTTTTCTGGATGAAGGACGGAAACTGATGTAACTTTGCACATGTTCAGCGTCATTCCTGTGGTTCTGTGGAAACCGCAGAACCCACTCAGTGGACTCTCTTCTCCGAGAGGCACAGGACCGCCCGTGGCTGGTGGCGTCACCTTTATGTGGGCCCCCGGGTGGGAAGGCTGTATCTTTTTCCCAGACTCTAACATCTCCCTCCAGCTCTGGCTTACTCTTAACACGGACATTCCTGAGCTAGAGTTTCTAACTGGAAGCTAGCGACTACCTCTCCCATTCACCTGATGGGACCTTTTTACTACTGACTGGTCACAGCAGGAGGGTCACTGCCTCTGCCCCCTGACCTTGGCACAATGACCCAGTCACCCAGGGGCCATTAAGGTTCCTTTCCAGGAGGACCTGTTCTCGAGGGACTAGACCTTAGTTTTCCTTCTATGATGCAGGAGGGCATGTTACCTGTTTTAAGCAAACATTTACGAGAGGCAGCCCCCTCGCCCCAAAAGAGGCCCCAAGTAAGTAAGAGTACAGCCCTGCAAGGTGATGGACTATGAATTGTTTCTGGTGGCGATCACTTTCTACAACTAAATTTCAGTTTTTCCAGTTGCCCTGGTGGTGAAGGGGTTGCCTTTTGGTGAAGAGAGAGGTTTTTAGTCATAGGGTGAAACACCATGGAAACCTAACCCAGATTTTTTAAAAGCATGGCCCTCTCAAAAGAGAAATAATAACGACAATATTATGGTGATGGCGACAGCAACGATGTGGCAGATTATTGAACGAAATGGATTGACTTGAATAAATGCTGTGAATTGCCTTCTGTTCAAATGTTCTTTTGTATGTCAGTCTTGTTATTGCCACACATTTGATTCTACTCTTTTCCAAGGGGACTCTATTCATGGAACGGTTGGTACAGTTCAAATATCAAGGCTTTGTTTCCCACTCATAAAGGCATGTAGACTGGCCGAGCGGCAGGGCCTATGTCCTCGTTATGTTTGTAGAGCTGCCGGGAACCCACTTCTTCCACACACAAAGCCGTGGGTGGACGTGAGTGTCTCCTTTCACCGCAGGATTGCTCCCCTTTTGTTTTTGCTTATATTTCTTTTTTTTATGCTTATTTATTTTTGAGAGCAAGAGAGACAGCACAAGCAGGGGAGAGGCAGAGAGAGGGAGACACAGAATCTGAAGCAGCTCCAGGCTCCAGCCTGTCAGCACAGAGCTGGACATGGGGCTTGAACCCACCGACCAAGAGATGATGACCTGAGCAAAGTCGGATGCCCAACTGACTGAGTCACCCAGACGCCCCTCACTTATATTTCATTCAGCATCTGATACAGCCTATGCAGCAGGCAAGAGGAATATTTTCACTTTTTTAAGCGCCAAAAGTATAAACTATTATCTCAGTTGGGGTATTACCATGGCTTACAGTAAAAAAGGATCTTAATGAGTACGTGGTATAGACCATTTTGTAAGGCTGTAAACTACATACCATAACTTCACATCACACAGGCCAGACCCCAACTGGTTCTTGTGTCTCTCCCCTCCTCTGCAGCCCAGGAGCATAGAAATTAAGTCTGTGGGGCAAGAAAACAAATGCGAGAGCTGTTGGCCTTGTGTGGCAGTCGTGATGGTGATATGGGAGAGACATGCTTGTTGTGTTTGGAGGAGAAAGGACCAGAAGCATCTTAACAGAAGCAGCCGTGGAAGGCAGACAAACTAATGTGTTTTCTTCCTCACCCCCAGCCCCTCTCCCAGAGATCTTGGGAATGTAAGTAGTTTGGAAGAACAAAAAAGAAAGGACTAATGGAAAAAAACTAATGACCTCACACTTTCAATAGTAACAGGCCAGTTTATTATAATTTCTCCTTGTAAACACTCAACTTGTTTAGGACTCCAGTCTGCGTCTAAACATGCTTTTTCATTTTTTTAAATGTTTTTATTTATTTCTGAGAGAGAGAGAGCGTGAGCAGGGGAGGGTCAGAGAAAGAGGGAGACACAGAATCTGAAACAGGCTCCAGGCTCTGAGCTGGCAGTCAGCACAGAGCCCAGTGAAGGGCTCGAACCCACGAGTTGTGAGATCATGACCTGAGCCGAAGTCGGATGCCCAACTGTCTGAGCCACCCAGGTGCCCCAAAACATGTTTTTTCAAGCCATGGTTTTAAAACAAGACTTGGGCGTAAGAGTCCTATTCCAGACGTGTAAAGAGGTTCTTTAGCAAAACAGCTGGCCACCTGCAGGCGGTACGTATTTACACGGAGGGACTGAAGACACATGAGCAGTCCAAGGCCCTGCTGTTGAGATTAACGAACACTGCAGCCACGTTTTTAATCTTTGCCCAGACACTTCCTGGAGCCTTGTTAATTAAAGCTTTTAGTTTAGCAAATATTGATCTGCCCCTTATTGGCACAGGCAAAAAGATGGTAGTAAGGCAGCTGTACGCGTACACCTCCCTGCAAGCCTCCTTGCCCACCTTAAGTTGGGAATTCTGGTTCTTTCTTTACCAAGGTTGGACATCCAATTGTCACTTCACACTTCTCTTTATGAGGAAGAACTCTGTTATGAGAAAGAACTTTATGTGGAACTCTGATTTCACCGTGGATGTTTGAAAACCCTACACAAAATACTCTAATTTCTATGAACATTTTAGGATGGCTTCTAGGCTTAATAGGATTGAGTTTACCCGTTGCCTCCTTTTTGTTTGTAGTGAGTCGCAAAGGTGGATTAGGGAAAAAAGCCTTTGGCACCCTCATACGGGTCAAGGGAATGTTCATGAGTGTCCAGGGTGAGAGAGTGCGTTGTGGGAATGGATTCACACGGGGACCCATGCTGCAGTAAAGAGCCAGAAGGAAACAGCGAGCACCAAGCAGTTTCCTAAAGGGAAGGTGCCCTCCCAAGGTGGGAGAGCGGGCCCCTAGGTTGTTTGGGGTTTGGATATTATTGGGTCTCTCTGGGCAGGGAGCTGAGACACACAGTGGGCGGTCTCTAAAGGAGGCTGCTGTCCATTGAATGGGAAACTCCTCCCACAGGTTGGGGGCTCACTGCCTGGTTTTAGCCGGATCCCCGCTTCTTTGCTGGCGGGGCTGGACCGGCAATGCCAATGTGTTATATTGAATGCCTTGAATGCCGGGATTACCCTGGGGCCCAGGTGGGAGAGGGGAGCACGTGTCCTGGACCTGTGGTTCTTTATGTGTCAGGCCCAAGGTCGTGGAAGCCTCAAGGTCAGGGTGTTGAGCTCCTAGGATTATGCGTAGCCTTTTTTTTTTTTTTTAATCGCCATCCTTGCCTCCAGCTCATGTCTCTGTCTTTCCCCTTCAGGGACTTGGGACTCTGCCTCCGGAGTTACTTTCACTTTTTCTTTGTACCAACATGTTGCACAGGATGTTCCTAGTAAATAGAACTTAGTTGATAAAAACTGCCACCAAAGTTTTGGTGTTGCTATAAATGACAGCAATGGCATCTATAAGATAAGTGTTCCCTAACCCTCAGGCATGTGAGGGCCACCCCCGCAAGGCTGTTCATGTCTGTACTAGACATGAATTCATTTTAAGAAATCTTCGTAGGCAAGAGTAACTATGAAATGCCCTGCCTGGCTTGTTCCTTATATTTTTTTTCTCTGTAACATGTAAGAATAAAGCACAATTATTACCTAAATTGCCATGCACATTAATGATGATGCATTCAGCAAACTGTTAACATTTTAAAAGCATTATGCTACTCAATGATATTCAAGTGTGGCATTTCACCTGGCTCCAGCCACACGATTTTAGGCAAGTTTGTCACTTTCCTGGACCTCAGTTTCATCAATTTTACATTGCGGCTGGGATGAAAGAATGAATGATAAACCTAAGTGAAATAATCTAGATAAAGCAACTTCGTAAACTGTAACGTACTGAACAATAGTTTTACTGGAAGGTTGGTAATCACCAGTGATGTGTCCTGTGCTTCTCAAATGTACCCATGTAGATGGGTCGTGTGAAACTGCGCAGAAAATGCAGGTTCTGTGTGTGTACGCATGTGTAGAGGGCGAGGGCAGGCAATCGGGTAAGTTACCTGGTCATGACGTGAAATTGAAATAGTTCCTTTTTGAAGGGGAAATAGACCAATCAGTTTAAGAAAATAATTGGGATGATAGAACATGAGCTGGGCAACTAGGTACAACTCCCAAAAAATCAAATATAGGATATATATATATTGCTTTTATTTGGAAATTTTCAAGCCTGCAGAAAAGCTGCAAGACGAGTATAGAGAACATCTATATACCCTTCGCCTCCCAGGTTCCCCAGTTAGTAACATGTTGCTGTATTTGCCTTACCCCTCTCTTTTTGACCCTCCATATAATATTGTTTCTTTTCTTCCCCCTGAATCATTGGAGAGCCTTTGTAGACACCACTGCACTTCACCTTCAGTGTGCATCTCCCAAGAACGGAAGCATTATGTTGCATAATTATCACTCCCAGGAAACGTAATGTTGTCTTCCACACGGTTCAGACTGGACTCTCCCCCCTTGTGCTGATGTCATTCAGAGCCTTTGGGACGGTGAGGGTGGGAGAGTCCTAGATCCAGAATCACACACACTGTTTAGCTGTCAGCTTTCCTTAGTCTCTTTAACCTAGAAGCGTTCCTCTGCCTTGTTTTTGTCTATGTTTTTGCCTTGAATGACTGACATGTTTGGAGCGCCCGGGAGCAGCCTATGTCGCAGCATGGCCCCCGGTTTTGCCTGCCTACTCGAGATCAGAAATGAGATGAAATGCGCTGGGAGAGCACTGTCAGGCTCTTTGCAGTGCATCACACTGACGCACACGTGGTGATGTGTGTCCCCCTTATCGGTGGTTCTAAATTGTATTACTTGATTAAGTTGGTTTTCCCATCTTAAAGGTGTTGTCCCTCCCTTGGAGTTGATAAGAGATGTGTGGGCTGATACTTCAATACCACATGACCACATATTCCCCACCCACTGATGATTATCCATTATAAACTATCCATTGGTGAATCTTGCCTCAACCAATTTTTACCATGATGTTTATGAGCTGGTAATTTTCCTATTTCCATCATTTCGTCTGCATTAGTTGCCATTCTGTAAAGAACAGATTTCCTTGAGGCATCTGGGTGGCTCAGTCAGTTAGGTGACCAGCTTTAGCTCAGGCCATGATCTCACGGTTCATGGGTTTGAGTCCCGCTTCAGGCTCTGTGCTGACAGCTCAGAGCCTGGAGCCTGCTTTGGATTCTGTGTCTCCCTCTCTCTGCCCCTCCTCCACTCGTACACACACTCTCTCTCTCAAAAATGAATATTTTTAAAAATTAAAAAAAAAAAAACTTCCTTTCTCCTTGCTTCACCTACTTTCATTTTTTGTTCATTTAATATTGGAGGTTTCACTGTGAACTTATGAATTGTTTTAAATTTTATATATTATTTTTTTTCCAGTAGGCTCCATGCTCAGTGTGGAGCACATTGTGGGATTTGAACTCACAGTCCTGAGGTCAAGACCTGAGCTGAGATCAAGAGTTGGACGCTCAACTGACTGAGCCATCCAGGCGCTCTGATTTTAACCATTTCTATCATGATGTTCCAAGTTGGCCAGTGGGAGCCCCTTCAAGGTGGTCCCTGTGTCCTTTTGAAATGTCCTCCTATATTGTTGAGTATTTTCAACAAGCTGATTTACCTACCCTAGAATCAGCCCCAAGCTGTTTGGCTTCCTTTAATCGAAGAAAGGTACTTAGTAAGATCTGGTGTGTTCTTATTGCCAACGGTGTCGTTGCCACAGCATCATTCAGAGGACAGACTTAGGAACATAGATTTGTTTCTTAAATCAGAAATCGATACTGATACCTCCT